AGAGGAGTTCTTTATACATAAGAGGAATCCCTCTTTTTGGGTAAGGGGGTTTTTTCGCGGGCCTTAAGGTATATATAAGAACTCTGGGATTTGATTTTGGGCAGAGCCCTTGCCATATTCTTCCTTTTGTTTTCCCCAACTGTTTCCTTTTTTTTTGGGGGGTAAGGGGGACCCCATTCTCCGTTTTGCCAATTTGGGAAGATTAATAGATAAGACTCATTGATTTCGGAGGGGAACTTGAATGAGGTTTCAATGCCATAAAGGAGAAGATTCAATATGCTCAGTTTTTGCCAGACATTTGAGGAAGAACCTCAATTGAATTATAATTCCCATCAATTTTTGAGACGACCTTTGATTGAAGAACTATTGTTCCAGACGTTTCTGAGACGGACTTCAAATATGTATCATTACCTTCAAGTGAAGGCTCTGATGAAAAAACTCGGGAATGAGAAAGTATCTGATTTCGAGACGCGTGTAGACTAACATTCACCAACAAACTGGATAGTGGTAAAAAACTTACATATAGATCATGCATTACCATATGCTGATCTACAGGAGGTGAATATATATACCACATCCGTATGAACCGAAGGTGGTTCAAATAAATAAAGCTTTATATGGTTAAAGCAAAGTCCGAAAGAATGGAATGATTACTTAAGAAAATATCTAAATAGTTGATCATTCTATGACTCGGAATATAAATCAAGTATCCATTTTCTAAAGATAGATTTACAGCTCGTAAACTAGAAAAACTATTTAAAACGTATGATGGTATTTGATTTACAAGCAGGTATTCCTCGAAATCAGGTTAGTAAAGAAAAAATCATTCCAGTTCAAACTATTTTTACTGTTAAACGGGATGGCACTCATAAAGCCCGTATAGTTTGTCGTGGTGACCGTCAAACTCCATCCACGTACGGGGTCATTAACACTGATCTGTTACAAATGGATACTTTGAAATTATTGTTAATGATTGCTAACAATAATAGGATGGTGGTACAAACGTTAGATATAAATCATGCATTTTTATATGCTGATTTACAGGAGGTGATCTATATACCACATCCATACGAACCAAACAAAGTGGTTCAACTGAATAAGGCCTTATACGGTCTTAAACAAAGTCCCAAAGAATGGAATGATCATTTAAGAAAATACTTAAATGATTGCTCACTCTTCGATACCGAATATACCCCAGGTTTATTCATGGACAAAGAAAAATTAATAATTATAGCCGTTTATGTTGATGACTGTATTATAGCTGCTAAAGACAATATAATACTAAAAAGGTTTATTAATAAACTAAAAGAAACCTTTGAATTAAAAATAGTCGGAACAATGGATAAAGGCATTCTAAAAACTGATATTTTAGGAATGGACTTAGACTATAACATAACAAAGGGGGAAATATCCTTATCATTGGAAACATACTTAACAGGTATAGAAAATGATTGGATTGATGAATTAAAATATATAAAATATGACAACTCCCCTCATTGGTCAAGCTATAATTACAAAGATGACCTAATCCCAATTCTATCAGAATCAAGGAAAAAGGAAATGACCAAAAAACTCCAAATAATGTCAGGAATAATAAACTATATACTGACGAGATGTCGTTACGATATTGCATTTGCAGCAAACAAATTGGCGAGAATAGTTAACTCACCAAATGAGCAATCAATAAAAATAGCTCATAAAATATTAAAATATCTATTCACTACAAAAAATCAAAAATTAATTTATCTAAGAGAAAATGGAAGCAAACCAATTATAGAAATAATCACAGATGCATCATTAGGTACAGAATGGGATCATAAATCTAGAATTGGTGTCATGGTATGGTATGGCAGAAATTTATATAAAGTTATATCAAGAGCGACAACTTCAATTAGGGAATCTTCCACTGAAGCTGAACTCGATGCCATCTATGAAGGGTACAAGGAAGGAAAATTATTGAAAAAGGTTTTAGAAACAATAAACATTTCAAATAATATAAAAATTAATATATTTACTGACTCAAAACCTGGCATACAGTTTTTAAACAAGAAATATAGATCCAAGAAACGAGATAAATTTCTAGATTTAAAGGTAGCAAAACTTACGGAACAAGTCCGAGAGAATATAATTGCTATAGGAAAGATAACTGGAATATTTAATGTTGCTGACATATTGACAAAACCAGTAACTACTATTCAATTCAAGAAATTGGTTGAATGTTTGGAAAATAAATTGCACCCAGGAGACATTCTTCGTATATCTGAATTAGGAGAATCCGAATCCAAGGACAAGAAGAAGATGTTGATGATCAGTTAAGAAGATCGTAAAAACATGTCTTTACGGAGGTGTGTCAGAATTATGAGGTAACACGTGATATAAACGTATTACGACATTATTCATATAGGATAAAGAAATGTTACTTTACACGAAAGTGTTATTCCTGACGCTGAAAACTTTTCCAACACTGTATATAAGAAATGATGAGATCTTACTTGATACTTATCATATGTACTATATTCCCATGTGTATATTATATACTTTAATACACCGGATCAATATCATCTAATTAAAAATGTCCTTGCAAACAACTAAACAATCAACTACTATTAATGATTCTGTAAAGAATCCACAACCCTCTGATTCTCTACAATAATTTGTTTAACTATGGTGATTTTCGATTTATACTCTCTGTGACGTTCTATAATAATAGATCCATCTTCTATTACGCAATTACTATTGTTGAATAGAATAATTACGTGCGAATGGAAGATACGGATATTGTAGACCATTTCAGGCTGACAGATTATCACTTTCTTGCTTTTAAATCAACTTACTACTTCAGGCAATAAAAAGCAAAAGAACACAAGAAAAACATGCCATCTTAGTATAGTGGTTAGTACACATCGTTGTGGCCGATGAAACCCTGGTTCGATTCTAGGAGATGGCAATTTCTTTTTATAAAATATATATTTTTCCTCTTACCAATTTCAATCACGTGGTTTAAAAGAAAAACAGGAGGTTTCACTACAACTATGCTTTTTGATCTCTAATTTTTTTGTTGACCATCCCCAAGGTTTAAAGACCTCTAACTATTAAGCAATAAGCTTTAAAATAATAATATCACTCAAATAGTCAATGAAAATACTTGTAAAGTTCAGTATTAACTATAATACGGTTTCTGACATGAAGCGTTACCCACTATTATCACATAAGCGACTGAGACTTATAAAAGAAAACATACTCATACTTACCCGGTGTATATGTCAAACACTGACCATATTACCCGACACGTAACAGCTTCAACCATGAAAAATGGAAACACCATAACACCACACCGAATATTCGATCAATTCAATTAAACTTTTCGAAAAGGGGCACTAGTTCATTTTCGAAATAACAAAATAGTGAAATTTTCTAAATTTAATATTGTTAATTTAATCAATTATACAACAGTTTGAAGATAAGTAGTATAATATATTGGGAACTTAATTAAATAAATTGGTTTTTGGGTTTAATTGAAGCTTTTTAATTCAATTGATCAAAAATCTGACAGTTGATAGAAGAGTTGTACTTATATATATCCATATATAATTAAGTATGAGTGACTTGCCTATCGAATTTACCGAATTGGTTGATTTAACCAGTCTAGGGATCTCTCCTCAATCCCTTGACTTTAGGTCGACCACCTTTGAAAGTGATCGTTTCGTTACAGTAAGAGAGACAATTGATGGTGCTAATTCTGTTGCAATTGTTGATCTAGCAAATGGGAATGATGTTACCAAAAAAAATATGGGTGGTGATTCTGCAATTATGCATCCATCACAAATGGTCATCTCTGTCAGAGCCAATGGTACTATTGTACAGATTTTCAATTTAGAAACAAAGTCTAAATTGAAATCTTTTACATTGGATGAACCTGTTTTGTTTTGGAAGTGGTTAAATGAAGAAACTTTAGGTTTTGTTACTGCAAGATCAATCCTTATCTCCAACGTCTTTGATGGCAATGTTAGTGGAAAACCAACTTTATTAACTACAAGACATCAAAATTTAAATAATACTCAAATTATTAATTTTGTAGCAAATAAAAACTTAGATTGGTTTGCTGTTGTAGGTATTTTACAAGAAAATGGCCGTATCGCAGGTAAAATCCAATTGTATTCTAAGCAGCGTAATATTTCTCAAGCTATTGATGGTCACGTAGCAATCTTTTCGGGAATTGTTTTAGAAGGTAACGGTTCCTCCCCTGTACAAGTTTTCGTCACTGGTAACAGAAATGTCACCACTGGTTCAGGTGAATTACGTATCATTGAAATCGATCATGATGCTTCTTTACCAACCCAATACCAGAAAAAGACAATGGAAATTTTCTTCCCACCAGATGCTACCAACGATTTCCCAATTGCTGTTCAAGTTTCTGAAAAGTATGGTGTTGTTTATATCTTAACTAAATACGGGTTCATTCATTTATACGAATTAGAAACTGGTACTAATTTATTTGTTAACAGAATTACAGCAGAATCTGTATTCACAGCTACTGCTTATGATAATAAAAATGGTATTGCATGTATCAATAAGAAGGGTCAAGTCTTGGCTGTAGAAATCTCTACTTCCCAAATTGTTCAATACGTAATTAATAAATTATCAAACGTCACCTTGGCTATCTCTATGGCTCGTAGAGGTGGTTTGCCAGGTGCCGATGATTTATTCCAAAAGCAATTCGATACATTATTATCCCAAGGTGATTACCAAAATGCTGCTAAAGTTGCAGCTTCTTCTCAACAATTAAGAAATCAAAATACCATTAACAGATTGAAAAATGTTCAAGCCACTCCAGGTTCTATTTCTCCATTATTATTATATTTCTCTACTTTATTAGATAATGGTAAATTGAACAGAGAAGAAACTATTGAATTGGCAAAGCCTGTATTACAACAAGATAGAAAACAATTATTTGAAAAATGGTTAAAAGAAGATAAGTTAGAATGCTCAGAAGAATTAGGTGATATCGTTAAACCATTTGATACCACTTTAGCTTTAGCTTGTTACTTAAGAGCAAACTCTCATCCAAAAGTTGTTGCTTCTTTAGCTGAATTGCAACAATTTGATAAAATTTTACCATATTGTGAAAAAGCAGGTTACCAACCAAATTTCTTAGTTTTGATTTCTACTTTAATCAGAACTTCTCCTGATAGAGCTTCGGAATTTACAACTTCTATTTTACAAAACCCAGCTGTTGCCCCACAACTAGATATTGAAAAGATTGCTGACTTATTTTTCTCTCAAAACCACATTCAACAAGGTACTGCTTTGTTATTAGATGCTTTGAAAAGTGATACACCAGATCAAGGTCATTTACAAACTCGTGTTCTTGAAGTTAATTTATTGCATGCACCACAAGTTGCTGATGCTATTCTAGGTAATAACATCTTTTCTCACTATGATAAGCCAACCATCGCTTCCTTATCTGAAAAAGCTGGTCTGTTCCAGAGAGCTTTAGAAAATTATGTTGATATAAAAGATATAAAGAGATGTATTGTTCATACAAATGCCTTACCTGTAGAATGGTTAGTCGCATACTTTGGTAAATTAAATGTTGAACAATCATTGGCTTGTTTGAAGGCTTTAATGGACAACAACATGCAGCAAAATATTCAGATTGTTGTCCAAGTAGCTACTAAATATTCTGATCTAATCGGTTCTCCAGTGTTGATCAAGTTATTTGAAGAATACAACGCTACTGAGGGTTTGTACTACTACTTAGCTTCATTGGTCAATCTAACCGATGACAAAGATTTGGTTTATAAATACATCGAAGCTGCTGCTAAGATGAAACAATATACCGAAATTGAAAGAGTTGTTAGAGATAATAATACTTACGACCCAGAAAGAGTAAAGAATTACTTGAAGGATGCCAACTTAGAGGATCAAATGCCATTGGTAATTGTTTGCGATCGTTTTGGCTTTATTAATGAATTGGTTATTTACTTGTACAATTCACAAAACTTAAAGTTTATTGAATCTTATGTTCAACAAGTCAACCCATCCAAAACTCCAGAAGTCGTTGGTTCTTTAATCGACTTAGATTGTGATGAAAACTTTATTAAGGGTTTGCTTCAATCAGTATTCGGCCAAGTTCCAATCAATGAATTAACCACTGAAGTCGAAAAGAGAAATAGATTAAAGTTGTTATTACCTTATTTGGAACAAAGCTTAGCTCAAGGTAACCAGGAACAATCTGTCTACAATGCATTGGCCAAAATCTATATCGATTCTAACAATGCCCCAGAAAAGTTCTTGAAGGAAAATGATCAATATGACACTATTGATGTTGGTCATTATTGTGAAAAGAGAGACCCATACTTGGCTTACATTGCCTACGATAAAGGCTCCAATGATGACGATTTAATCAGAATTACCAATGAAAACAGCATGTACAAGTACCAAGCTAGATATTTGTTAAAACGTTCTGATCCTTCATTATGGAATAAGGTTTTAGGTGAAGATAATGTTCATAGACAACAATTAATCGATGCTGTTAATTCTGTTGGTATCCCTGAATTGACTGACCCAGAACCAGTTTCAATTACTGTACAAGCTTTTATGACTAACGGCTTAAAATTAGAGTTAATCCAATTATTGGAAAAAATAGTTTTAGAAGACTCTCCATTTAGTGATAACGTAGCTCTCCAAGGCCTATTATTGTTATCTGCAATTAAATATGAACCAAATAAGGTAAGAAGATACATCGAAAAGTTGAAAAATTATGATGCTGATGAAATTGCCTCCTTGTGTATCGAACACGATTTGAAGGAAGAAGCTTTTGAAATATTCGACAAACACGAGTTGTACAACAAAGCCCTAAATGTTTTAGTCGAGAATGTAATGTCTTTAGATAGAGCATACTCTTACGTTGAAAAGATTGATACAAAAGAATTGTGGTCCCAATTAGGTGCTGCTCAACTTGACGGTTTACGTATTCCTGACGCTATCACATCTTACATAAAAGCAGAAGATCCATCTAATTATGAAAGTGTGATTGATGTTGCAGTCGAAGCTGGTAATTATGAGCAATTGATTCCATACTTATTAATGGCTAGAAAAACTTTGAAAGAATCAAAGATCGATGGTTCTTTAGTTTTGGCTTACGCTTCCTTGGACAAGGTCCATGAAATCGAAAACTTGGTTGCCAACTCTAATGCTGCTAATTTGGATGCAGTTGGTGATAAGTTATTGGATATGAAAAACTACAAGGCTGCAAAATTATGCTTCTCAAGCGTTTCTAATTACTCTAAGTTAGCCTTTACTTTGGTCCATATCGGTGACTATCAAAGTGCTGTCGATACAGCTAGAAAAGCTTCTAATATCAAGGTTTGGAAGCTTGTTAACGAGGCATGTGTTGATAAAAAGGAATTCAGACTAGCTCAAATTTGTGGTTTAAATTTGATTGTTCATGCTGAAGAATTAAACGAACTAGTTGAAAAATATGAATCTAATGGTTACTTTGAAGAGTTGATTTCCTTGTTTGAAGCTGGTTTAGGTTTAGAAAGGGCTCATATGGGTATGTTTACAGAGCTATCAATTTTGTATTCGAAATATGAACCTTCAAAAACTTTTGATCACTTGAAGTTGTTCTGGTCAAGAATTAATATTCCAAAGGTAATCAGAGCTGTCGAAGAAGCACATCTATGGCAAGAAGTAGTTTTCTTATATGCCCATTATGACGAATGGGACAATGCCACACTAACCATGATCGAAAAATGTACCAAATCTTTCGATCACGAATACTTCAAGGAAATTATTGTTAAAGTTGCCAATCTTGAAATCTACTATAATGCTATTAACTTCTATGTTAAAAAGCACCCAGCATTATTAATCGATTTATTGTCAGTTTTGACTCCAAGATTAGATATTCCAAGAACAGTTCAAATATTTGCAAAGTCTGATAACTTGCCTTTGATTAAGCCATTCTTGATTAATGTTTTACCAAAGAACAACTCTGTTGTTAACCAAGCATATCATGACTTAATGATTGAAGAAGAAGATCACAAGGCTTTAAAAGACGCTGTTGACTCATATGATAAATTCGATCAAATTGCTCTAGCTGAACGTTTGGAAAAACATGAATTAATTTTCTTCAAAAAAATTGCTGCTTTACTTTACCGTAGAAACAGAAAGTGGGCAAAGAGTTTATCTATCCTAAAAGAAGAGAAGTTATGGAAAGATGCCATTGATACTGCTGCTATTTCTCAGGATTCAAAGGTTGTTGAAGATCTATTTACCTATTTCATCGAGACAGACAACAAGGAAGCTGTTGTAGCATTATTATACACTGCCTATAATTTGTTCAAGTATGACTTCGTTTTGGAAATGTCTTGGTTGAATTCTTTAGAAAACTATACCAAACCCTATGAAATTTCTGTAAAGAAAGAACAAACAGAAGCAATTGAAAAGTTATCTAAACAATTAGGTGACAGAGCCAATGTATCTGATAACAAAAATGCCCCAGGTGAACCACTTATGTTGACTAATGGTATGGGTTACCAACAAACTGGGTTTTAAATTATGATGTAGGTAATGCATACTAGCCGATTTGAGGAGATTAGTTAGTATTGATAAATGAAATGTCTCTCATTGAAATATAGTATATACAACTTTCATACTGAGATCATATTTCTCCTACTGTTAATATGTAACATAATTTTTTATCTATATTAGTAATTAACGAATAATATATTATTTTTAAGTAAAAATAAGAATCTAATTAAGATGTCATTAAAAATATTTTATCTATACATGATCTAAATATGATATATGATGTCTATAAAGGCAGTAGATAAAAGTCTATCCAATAAATAATATGTACGGCCGTCATAATCATACAAATGTAGGTTCCTAGAATGCTAATTGTTCGTTATGTCATAAAATTATAAAATGCTGTGAGTGAATTTTAGGAATATGATATTCTTGAATCTATATTCTATTGTTGGTTTTGAAATTCGTCAATTTCTTTTAATAAACTGCCGATTGGAGGTAACTGAACAATATTTTGTGGTAATTTAACCAAGCTTTCACTTGTATCTGTTTCACTACCATCATCTTCATCATCAGTAGCCAAATGAAATCCAGCTTTACCCATACCTCTAGTTGCTTTCTTGCATAGTGGTGATAATTTTCTTTGAGGAATTCCTCCAAAAAATGAATAGTTTGTAGATGAACTGGTAATTCTTGATTCACTGGTATTTAACATCGATGGAATTGGATTTGAAGTAGAACGTAATCTACTTAGTTCACTTTCCTTGAAAGCAAATGGTAAAGATGTTGTACTTTCTGATGATGATAAATTGTGGTTATAAGATTGAAGATCTACCAATGAACGACCTGAAACTTCATCTTGATTTTGAGATTTTGCCATACCGTGACATTGTAGTAATACTTTGGCTGCCGCCATTGAACTTGTATTGGCTGAAAGCTTTTGTTGAGAATTGTATAATTCTTTGCTTTGTGGTAATTGGAATGGTCTATAACTACTCAATGAAGGGGATATTGGTCTTGAGCCATACATTTCTGAGAGGCTTAAAGAGCTTCCAGATGGTATAGATTTATTGGATAAAGGTTGCATAGTATGGGAGAATGAAGATGGAGAAATAGAATTTATCAATGAAACATTAGAATTGTTTCTGATCAACAGATTAGGTTTTCTTTCATTGTTGGTTGGCATAAATGGTAATAGATTTGGAGATGATACAGAACTTGGGGCAGTTACATTTGAAGTATCAATTGAAATTTTTGGTAACGAAAAATTAACTGAATCATTAGCAGATGAAATAGAAGTGTAGGAGGTAGATTTTTTAATTTCTTTTGCAACTTTTCCCTTTGTCTTCTTCTTCTTTCTAGTTCTTCTTGACAATTCCCCAGTAGAATGGATATTCATGTGTCTTTTCAATTCATCGCTTCTACTGAAACTTTTTGGACAGCCTTGGAAAGTACAAACATGTGGTTTCTCACCAGTATGAGTTCTGATATGTCTTTTTTTATGCTCTAATCTCCTAAAACCTTTAGTACATATTTCACAGATATATGGTCTATTATCAATAGAATTTACCGATCGGGTACCTTCTTGTTGAATTGAATTTGTTGATACCATGACTCTTGCCATTACCGTTTATTTTTGAATTTGAATAAAATTAACTTTACTATGATAAAAAAGAAATAACCCAAGAACAGCTACTTCTCAGATATATATAAGTCTTGGTTCTTAATATGTTTAGATATCTTACTTTATATTTTATATAATTACAAGTAGGTTAGCAGTAAATTAATCCATAAAATACAATTATTTACTGATCTGAGGAGCATTTTTGGGAGATTATATTCTCTGTTCCTCTTTATATATATATGATTATATGAACATATGGACATATTGCAAATGTCAATTTTAACAATGAATAGACTCATCAAATGGATTATTGTAAGCCATGTCTGAACGTCAGTTATGCTAAGTGATTAAGGCAATAATATTTTTTTTCCTTTTAGTGGGTTTCCAAACAATAATTCCTATTAATAATGGAGTATAATGTAGTAGAGCGGAAAAACTACATATCCCGCAAAACACATCGTCGCATAAACTCATGAGAACTCTACGCACACACATAATTGTTTCTCATTGAATTTCCCAATAATTTATCCAATAACCCACACCTCGGAAAAACTATTACAGCAAGAAGAAAAGGAAAAAAGAAAACGACTTGGAATAGAGGACTCTTGCAGCAAACCCAATTAAAAAGGGAAAAGAGAATAACACAAATATATGGATGAAACTCTAACATTATCCTTGAACTACGTAAAAGTATCCATTGACATTGGTTAAGAACTGAAGTTTTGCAACAGGTCTTCAAGAGAAATCCCTAGAGAAGGGATTTCTTTATGTACTATCCTCTATTTCATCCTTGTAAAGAAATTGTTGGAAGGAAACAAATGCAGAGACGAATCACGTACCATGACGATAGAATAATTTACTATTGTCATACAAGCCTGATCCTAAATCTTTTCTTGTTGTTTAGTTTCTTTTGTTTGTTCCACTATAGAGAAATCACTCACGGAAATTTCATAAAAAGGAAAATTGAAAACAAACGTAAGAGAAGAGTAAAACAACAATTTGCTAGGAATAAGACTAATGAAAAAGTTTATCCGTTAAAAATCTATTCCATATTCCTATTGTGGATTTTGATTTATGAGCAGTAAGTTAGATAAAAAATTAATTTAACTTAGAAAGAACTTAATGTACGAGTCCAAAAAAAATGGGAAAAACCTAAAAGGAAAAATAATTCGAAGCTACTCTCCTCCGAGACAGTTGAACCCTCACGGAAGACTCCAAAGGAATGCTTTCCGGCTTTTCTTGTTTGCAATCATTAATGCTACTATTGATTGATTGCTTTGACGAAATACGATACTAAAATTGTCTACATTTTCGTTTTATCAACTTGTCAAAAAAGATATTGTATGTTTTGGATTATAAGAGAGCAAAAAGCAACGCAAAAGAAGAAGAAATCAACGTAGCATTATGCTAAAAGGAAAGAGTTTTGATTTCAACAAACTAGGAAGGGAAGGGGAAAGTACAATGAGCAAAAAAACTGTATCAAAATTTATCCGAAAGCACTGCCTTAATATTTAATATTATTCCGAGCACGTCCATTTCTCTCTTATCAGTGGAATAACTCATGTTCACCCCAAAAACTACAATGTAATAAAAAGAAACTTCAACGCTGGGACTCATGAAACATAGGGAGAAACGAGGAATAACGGCCATAAAACGGGGCCAAATAATTTTTCAGACGGAAAAACTCTTGGGTTAATTTCTTTTTAGTTTTTCCATTGATAGAACTGCGTGCATCTGTTCTTTCGTCATGAGAACTAGGAGATCCTGAAGAAACTGGAATCTGTTGTTGTAGCAAGAATACTCTTTTTTCTTTGACCACTAACAATACCTACCAATTTAAAAAATTGTAGCTATGCTACAATGTAAATTACTGTGTCAAGTTAACGACGGTGTCAAGTTGTTACTTTCAAGATCTATATTACGTGGTGTTGGCATTGCTTTCCCCTCCATCCACGTCTGCTACTATCCCACCTCTCACCTCCCACCTCCCACTCCCACTCTCACCCCCATCAATGTAGATGTAATAGAGGAGAATCACCCATTAATATCACTAATATTCTCTTGGGATTAATTTTTAAATCCATGCATAAATATATTTTCCGATTCTTGTAAATAGTAGGAATGAATTGAAGCTAAAAAGTTCAAACATAATTACTTTATATTATCAGAACGGCAACTTTTATTATGAAAAAATGTGCCTTGGATATCTGTTACTGTGGGTTTTTCCAAAAAATTTAATTCAGATCTTCTTTGCTCCATGGGACTTCATTACGTTTCTTACTATTTATGCATGAATAAACAATTAGAAATATCTTAGAATAACCCGATTCACATAATGTCATAATGCCTCTAAGACTTTTTCTTGGGGTATCTCCTTTACATCTTAGAAGATTTGTATTGACTTGAATTGAGTTGGTAGTAACGCAGAAGTAGATGGCATCCAATTGAATAGTAATATGTTGGATGCCCCCCGCCCCCCCTCCAGTTTCACTTTCTTAAATTGAAATTGATCAATCCACAATCTATCCATCTAACTGATGAATTTACTATTACTTTATTAATCAATAAATGAGACCTCTCAAGCCTACTTCTCCTATTTAATACTGACTGTATCTCATTTTATTGGAATTTTAAGTTCCGACATAATAATTGTTGCATCAATTCCTCTGTGTAATCACAAATACCTTGGTACTGGAGAAAATGCCCACTTTTCAAATGTCTGATTCGACTTTTTTTGTTTCCCGGCTCCACTAATGATGATCAAGAAATTAATCTTATTACTCTTTAATGGGGCTGGTGACATTAGGTTAACAACTATGACCTAATTTCAATCAGTGCAAGCAGTGCAAGGAAAATTTAGTGTCGATTGCTTCGATCTATATTGTAAGATAAATATTGAATTTACTACGTTGTATATTGTTTATGGATTCAATTGGTGGTATTATAGCAATTCTGAGCATTATCTTCTTGTCAACCATCACTTGTATCTCTATCGATGGGGCGGTTTTTTAAAATTAGCTTCGATCTTTAATCGATTTTCCGGTGTCTACAATCAAAAAATGTTGAATTATATTTGGTTCATCTAGTTATCTTGATCCAATGTTACTATAAAGTTAATTATATTTGGATTTAGAAAATATATATCATTGTAAGATTTTAAATTATGGTAAGGTATCCCATACTATTTTGTGTTAAAGTGCATACGTATAGTAGGAATCCATGGAATCTCTTAAGATCTCTAAAGTTCCAGCAATATTTGATGCTCGGAATAATTATTGTCCTCTTATTTATTATTCGTCAAACTTGGTAATCCGTTTTGATTTTAAATATAGACAACCAATCCATTTTAATCCATTTTAATCCATTTTAATTCAATCCAATCCAATCCAATCCAATCCAATCCAATTCATTATGGTTCTTCGTTAAACAAATTTATCTTCTTGAAACACTTAAACAGGGTGTCTCTATTTCTTAATAATAAGATATCTCGTTAACTTGCTCCATTGTTTCTCTTACATCTTATAGGTTACTCTCAGAATGTTTATTGAGGGTTTATTTTAATTCTTTAATTAGAGAGTACACCTATGAAATTTAAGTGAAAAAGTGTGGGTAAGATACGAAGATGATTTTAAATTTAGTTTAATTAGTACTAATGTTACCCACAATTTAAGTTAAGCTTACATGTAGTTCCCCAATTTTCCTGGTTCTGTCTACAAAAAATATCTCGTTTTCTTCTAATTCCCATTTCTTCATATATTGCGGGATATGAAATGTTCATTATTATTTTAGCTCTGTCAGATCTTAAATCTCGGATTAATTATTTAATACATTGTGTATTATTGAAATATATTCAAAAGAATTCTTGAGATATGATATTACTTTTGGTTTTATTATTAATCTTGAATCTGTATTGCCATATCTATTGCCATTTTTATTACCATTACCAATTCCATTTAATTTAATTTCAACACTGTTGGAACAAAATGACGTAATTTTCATGTTAACTCTATATATTCATGTCTTTTGACAATTACTTAATTTATACAAAAGTAATCTATGCCCAACTCAAAATATTTACTACTAATAATTCAAATCAACTTCTTGGATTATTTGAAGGTTATAATAATATCTTTCAGCATTTAATACAATACATTAAGTATCAAAACTATGCGATGAAAGATTTGATATTGATGACAAGAGGACAACTAATGGTTATCTAAATGATATTTATGCTTACCATTGAATTAATTATATTTAATTTAAATGCATCTATACATATGATTGAGTATAGGGTCAAATCTATCTTTTTTTAAAACCTGGAGGAGGTTGAAACTTTCTAGTTTGTAATGAAGCTCCACGATTGTCAGTACTACTAGTAGCACTTGGCATCGAGCTTGTTCCAGATGTACTAGTCGTCTGTTTCTGTACTTTGCCATTGTTCTTATTACTTCTTTTCCTTTTCTGTTTTTGAAGTTGTTTCTCCTGTTTCTTTTCATTTGAAATTCTTTCCCTCTTGCTCAATAGGGGTTTATCCTCTACAACAGTAGAAAGTATATGCTCACCTCTTAATATAGTCAACCCTAATACTCTTTTCTCCACTTTAATGTCCGATGCTGATACATTATTAGTAGACTCTTTTAATTTTTGTAATTGAGTCTTTGGAATTCTTTCTTCGACACAATCTCCTAATACCACATTCATATGTTTATCATAAGCCATTAACTGACCTATGTACACCCTACCATCCGCTGTTATCACCCTAATCCTATAATTTATTAAGTTACCCAATTTACTATCATGTTGAACACTAGCTTTATTATACTTCATCCTACTGTAATATATCAAAATAAACAAACCAAAGCAACCAATATAGTATATACAACCAACCTCTCACTACTAACAGAATATACGGTCTTCAACTAACTTATATACACTAATCTAACCTATATCTGTTCAAAACCATATAGCCATTGTTCATATATTAGTTTTCCAGATGTTAAATATCAATATTTTTTTTTAACCTTCAAATTTAAAGCTTTTTAAAATTTTAAAGGCTGCTACCAATTTGAAAATAAATAAACTAAACAACTAAAGTTTTATAAAGAGATATCTATTTAAAATCGTAGTCTACAATCACACCAAAGAGATATTTAGAGTGTAAATATATTTGCATTTACATAAATATATATATATATATAGATTGATATATCATTCATAAACAGAAGGAATTAAGCAATACAAATGGCTGAAGAATTAAAGGAAAAACGTGAACTAGAAGTGGAGGAAGATAACACAAAGAAAGATAACTCTGACAAGAAATCTAAAGTCAAGAGAAGAAGAAGAAATTATGACGATTTAGATGCAGAGGTCACCAAAGATGAAAAATCTAGAAAGACTAAAAGTGGGAAGTCTGGTAAAAATGGTTCTGATTCCGAATCTGAGGTAGATGATGCCAAATTAGACACTATGATTAGTTTAGAAGATGAACAAGAAGATGATTTAGCTGAAATTGACACTTCAAATATCATCGTCACTGGTAGAAGAACTCGTGGTAAGATTATTGATTACAAGAAGGCGGCAGAAGAATTAGCAGCTGAAGGTAAAATAAGTCTCGATGAAGATGAAGATGAAGATGATGAAGATGCAAAGGAAGATGATGGAGAGTTTGATGAATAGCTGAATTCTTTATAATCAGAGCCGTCCATATATTTTTTCTATTTCCCTAATATATTTTTAATTAATTAGTTAATAATATTGTTGTAATAATTTTAATGAGAAGAAAACCAAAGTTAAATCATGATTCATTTTAAAGTATAATCTAAATATTCATTTCGGTTTATATCTATTTTTGGAGTGCATAAATACAAATATTTATTTATATACATACATATATATATATATTTCAATAAAACACATACGTATATTTTATACATGTGTAAAATTCAAAATAAAGATACAATTAAAACACATATGTATACATGATCTTATAGTTGGAAAATTAACAACAGTTATTTGAGGAAGATTTCTTTTTCTCATTTGGAGCAGGTGTTAGACTGATCGTTGGACCCTTTGGTGCATTCAAAGTATTGTTATTGTTATCTACACCTAAATCCACTTGATGTTTACTAATCATTTGATATATGGAGGTAATCAATTCTCTAAAGGCTTGATCAACATTTTCACTATTTAAAGCACTTGTTTCAGTAAACAATAATTGATTTTCTTGAGCGAATTTCTTAGCTTCATCTGTTGGGACAGCACGTAAATGGCTTAAATCAGATTTGTTACCGATTAAACCAACTGCAACATTATCATCTGCATTTTCTCTCAATTCAGCTAACCAATGATTACAATTTTCATATGACGATTGTTTCGATATGTCGTAAACAATCAATGCACCAACAGCTCCTCTATAGTAAGCAGAGGTAATGGCTCTATAACGTTCTTGACCAGCAGTATCCCAGATTTGTGCTTTAATTTTTTTACCATCAACATCAATTGTTCTTGTCGCAAATTCTACACCAATAGTAGATTTTGATTCCAAATGAAATTCATCAGTAGTGAAACGTGAAAGTAAATTAGATTTACCTACACCGGAATCACCAATCAAAACAATTTTGAATAGGTAATCGTAATCGTAACCGTAATCCTCGTTATTCATCGTGATTTAAAATATATACAAAAACAAAAACAAAAAAATAATTTATTATAACTGAATTCCTTTTTTCCCCTTCTATTAATATCAAGTTTAATCAAAAGTAGAAGATAAAAAATCGAACCTTGTTTCAATAGTTATCTAATAGCTGAAATCCAACTTATCTAATAAAGTTTCTTTCAGTCCAAAAAATAATAAAATAATAAAATTAATAACCAAATCCCACTATATTTCACAGTTAGATCTATAGAATTCCTTTGACAATATTCTGTTATGATGACTTTCTTTCTTTATTGAATGTAAAAGACAAAACTTTTCCTATCCTATGCTATCTTTTTAAAATAACTCAACTTTAACACTAGAGAGAGAGACTCTTGCAATTAATGAATATTTCAAAACCAAAAGAGTATTTAATATAAAATCACTTTATTTAACGTGTTATAACAATAACCATATAATATCTAATAGGACTACGACACGTTAAAACTAAAATATATTAAAATCAATTCTAACAATACAATAATATATTTCGTTTTTAATTTTCTGTATTTATTCCTAACTAAAATTGCTTTTAAAAAGATAATAAATAATCAGTTCCCAGTACTTTAACTACTACGAATGCTGTTCTAAATTTGATATTAAAAGTAATAAGATGAAAAAGTAATTAGAGATTACAATTCTTTTCTTCTAAACCAACAATAAAAAGCAAGAACAAAAGAGACTAATTGTATTATATTGTATAGTATTGTCCCTTGTTGTGATGAATATTCAAAGTGATAGCAATCTTGATATAACGAGTGCAGTCTCCGTTCCAGAGAGTCCTTGATTGTAAATTGAATGGATATTAAGAACTGGTTCTAACTGTTTCTTTGTTACGGTATGGTATGGCATAGCATGGCATAGCATAGATGCTAATACTACTATCTCATGATGATTTGATAAATTTTCATCTGTTTCGAAGTTTGCTGTTGCTGTTGGTCTTGGCCTTGGCCTTGGCCTGCTATGAATTGACTTGACTTGAATTTGACAAAAATTGACAACACCCAATGTTAATTTCTCGGTGGTACGTGTGTTTGTCAGCAAATAGCTGAACCCGAAATCGATTAAATTTTTGTCTCGACTGATTTTTGATTTTTGATTTTTGATTTTTGATTTCGAATTGGCCTGAAACGAACCGAACCGAACCGAAATGGAACGAAACGAAAACAGGAAAACGAAAAAAAATTTAAGCTGTCGTATCTAGTTATGTGGAGTGTTATGATGTTGGTATCTGTTTGATTTTGTCTTTGTAATAATTATAATTATAATAAGAAGAACTGGGAATATCTGATGCCCCCATGTTCTCATATATATCTTATCCATCTATCTACCTGTCTTGTTGTTAGACGAATGGTAACCCTACAATAACATTCTTATCATTGCTTAATATCATGTATCATATGATACGACAGGAGTTTGTCGTGCACACTTCCATCCCCTTTTTTTTTCTTGTTCGTTCTCCTCTTCCCTGTTCGAAGAAAACTTCAAAACTAAACCTAGTCAGTCATCGCATCATACGAAACATAACCGCATAATAATGGGTTCTCCAGTTTTAATTTGGGTTGTTGCTTAATTTAGAAATATTTGTTTCGTCGGAATATGTCACGTGTAATATTCGCTCCCGTGACCCCCCACACTACTACAGATTACACATATGTTTTTTGAACATACATCTTGTCTTTAGCCGCTAGTACATTTTATCCTTATTTGTAATTGTATTATTTCTTTTGATATTTTTTGTTTGGCGGGAAGTAAAATCACATACAGTAGAGAAAAGAATGTCGAATACACTACCTTTTTTTTAGGGGAGCTCTACTTAGTGACAGTTATATTCCACAGATCTTTCTTTCTCTCTTGTCTTTTTTTTTTTGTGTCATTTATTTTTCGTTTTGTACCCCCCTTCAACTGGACATATTAGATAGATCTAAGATCACAAGACTAAAAGATAAAACAACCACAAAGATATATCGATCTGTGTGCTTGACATCCAAGAGCATATAAACACAAGCGCCTTTATTTCAACTTCAATTTCCTTTTTGCCAGCTTTCTCCCTATGCCATCAACATATTATACATTTATTTACTTCCCATTCCTCATGGGACAAATCATACACATCAAAAAATGGTGTATACGTGCATGTATGTATAATTTTATGGTATTACCATGACTGAAATTAATTGTAGAATATTTTATTTTTACATTAGAGTCGCTCATACCAAAACAGATCTTTAATCACGTTTATACACATCACGTGATTAAATTGAATATGTATATATTTAGATACACTTTTTATATTTGTTTGATTTTTGTTTTTCGCTCCTCCTCCCGTCTCTTCCCATTCTCTCTTTAATTCACTAGTTTATCCCAATTAGGAATATTGTAAACAATTGTGTTATTAAGTGCAAAAATATCATGGATAATGGAATTTTATACAATTTAGCTATTCGAGCAATTGGATTTCCTACTACTTCTTTCTATCTGACTCTATGTTGAAGTTTATTATTCAATTGTTTTAGTTTACTATTAGTTCTGATATGTATACTCCATTCTCTTGCTTGATGGCTATATTAATTTGTATCACACTTAGCAACAGTTTTTACACACACACACATATATATATAATTATTGATATACACAAACAAAAAGCCTTAGCCGACAACCTCTAAGATACTAAAATATCCAATTAATAAATGATACTTTGTTCCAAACCATAAGCCATAAACCACAATTACAATAGCATATAAATGGATATACCTACTACACCTACAAGGAAAATCAAATCAAATCATTCCAGTAATCGGTCCCAAGTGCGTTTCTCGTTACCAGAACCCATTGCTACTACCATTTCCAATGGCAATGCTAGTTGTGATGAGGACGAAGATGATGATGAAATTGCCAATATTGAATTAATGTACTCTGACATAAATGACTCCCCAACTAAAATAGTTTACCCAAAAGATGATATAAAAGATGATGTTTCAAATAGTCAGTTCATGGATATGCACTCAAAACTAATGATCGATGTACCTGAAGAGGTTTGGAACTTTCATAATACCAGAAAATTATCAAATAATAAACAAGAATATCAAAAAAAACAATCACAAAATAGACATCAAAGAACTAAATCTTTACAAGAAATTATTAGCTCAACAATCGACTCTTTCCAAGAAGAGCAAAATTATAATAATTCAAAATCAAACAATGATGAAAATGATTCAAGCCTCATAAGTTTGGTCACTCCATTAAACATACATAAACGAAGTCTTTCATTGCAACCTCCAGAATTATATCTAACACCAGAATCACCACTAAATAAACATAAATTGCCAATACCGTTGAAAATATCTGTACCACCATTTCTGTCCCCAGAAAACAAGAATAAAAAGCTTCCAAATTTAATATATGATGGTAACGGTTATAGTCCATTCAAGAAGGCTGACAGTTCAATAAGTTCAGATTCTTTTACCAACTCTATTATAGACTCAGAATTAGAATCAATAGTCAGTTCAATTCCGTCAGCCGACAATCCTGTAACTTATAATTTATCTTTTGAAGATTCAGAGACAGCAAATTTGAACTTAGGATTTGATAATGATGGTAATGTCAATCTAAAATTACAAAACAGAAATATAAGGACAAGAAAAGCTGCATCAAGTTCACCACAAAATAAGAAGAGCGAAATTATAATTCCGGAAATTCAGAAGGATCTGAGATCAAATAATATAACTGCTTCTACGATACCAAATTTGGAGACATCTTCTCCGAGATCACCCTTTAACATTTCTAAATCAATTACACAAGATACCCCATTTTATTCTACACCAACAAAATCATATAATAATATCAACCCAGTTGCAACAGCCCAAAACAATAATTCTCCAATGAAACAATATTCATCATCTAAATCCGCACCAGAAAGGTTATTAGAACAGTCAATGAAAAGAAATTCTCTACAGATTCTGTCGACACCATCAAAACAAATTTATATTCCTGATTTAGAAAAGGAAAAAACTCCTTGGAGTGAAAATGGTACTTATAAGTTTTTCCAACGAATGGAAGCAAGGTCGCCAGATATTTCAAAGGATATCAATCAAGCGGTTAAAAATGCAGGGGAATTGGCTTTAGATTTCAAATTTCCAGCTAATAATGATAAATTGAACCACCAAACGAATAATATTAATACATCAAAACAGGTGGTCAATGATGATAAAGATTTTATGAAAATTGATAACTCTGCAGCATCTAATGCCATAGAAAGAAGAAGGAATATGCTAATAAAAAACCAATTGACCCCTGGAACTGCCTCAAAGGGACATGCTCATAGGAGAAGCAGAAGTATACATAGATTAGAGGAAATGATCGCCGATATTTCTGGTGAAGAATTTTCAACATCTATATTACCTGCAAGTAAAGATTCTACTCCTGAACTCCATATACCTGAAAGATCTCCTGATAGATTAAAAACAGCCAAAGTACAAGAAAAGAATATTACCAATGAAACAACGGAAAATAACTCCCCTCCAATAGATGATAGTATAACTATAGATGATAACTCTTTGAAAATATACGATGAATCTTCACAGTTAAATATTGAAAATAAATATTTGGCTAAAGATATCGGTAGAAATAACAAAGTAAATATGGGAATGTTCAACCCATATAAAAATTCCTCTTTGTCTGAGGAGAACATTAATATTCCTAAAGCAAACATATCACAAAATTATGATTATACTATAGAATCAATAGCAACTGAACCGGAAGAATCCTTAGTGATTTTATCTGAAAATATTTATCATTCTAGAGAAATTGATGCTAGCAATAAGAGTGGCTATACCGATTCAAGTCTGGATAACATTACTAATTATACATTCCAAGAATTGACACCCATTCGTCACAATGTTCCATCAGACCTTAGAAATAATTTGGAATCAAAGTCTCATGAAACTACTAGATTGCCAATAAAGTCAGAGATGAAAACCAATAATAGCAATGATCCTATATTATCAATGAATTATATTAATGATAATATCAATGTGTTCAATAATGGCAATGCTAATAACGCTAATAACGCTAATAATGCTAATAATGGCGACAATAGCGTTAAACCTTTATCATCATTTAATTCTTTCAATGTTTCAGTGCTATCAGATAATATGTCACAGGAAATGGCTTCAAATCATATCTCGAATAATATAAATGATATTACAACTATCAATTTCAAGAATGATGAGTTATTAAATGTTCCACCACAAAGGACATTTTCATTCTCCGGGAGCCATTCTTCTGACAATTCACAATTTTCAAAAAATACATATCAGAGTAGTGTCAGTTCTTATAAAATTGATAATATATTAGCAAACGCACCCTCACAAGAAGTAGAGGTTGCCAAGAAACCCGAATTCCCACAATTCAGAGAATCACCAATGCGTAAAAATAGAAAATTCAAGAAAATTAATAATGGCAATAAACCGGAAAAATTTAATACCGTTTTTGAATATAGAGAAGGAAAAATAGTAGAGGTAATCGTTCTCGATAATGATAAAGATGCATTGAAAGCTCCTCTAGATTCTACAAATTTACAAAATGGAAGAAAGGTTAAGAAATTGCTACAGACAAATTCTCTAAAAATTCCATCCAATGCTAAGGACAAGGAATTTCATTCAAGAAGGCATATTAGATCTAAATCTTGCCCGATCGATGTTTTAAACTATCAGAAAATTTTAGATATGTGTGAAGATACTGCCACTATTGCAAAGGATATAGTATATGAGCTAGGAAACGGAAAAACAAAACATATCAAGAGAAACTCGAACATTATCTTAAGAAGAAAACAACCAATGATTGATTCTTCTGTCTATGATTCAGTTAAAATTAAACCACAACTACCTGCATTCCCTGTCCAATGAAATTATTGACAGTTTAGAATTCTAATATTACATTTATTAACTAATATATATATATATCTATATATAAGTATATATAACTTAATTTATATAGTCTAAGAATAATTGTAACCATATATATATATATATTTATATATCCTTCGGTACCAACTAAATATGCCAATTATTATCTTATATCACCTAGGAGAGTTATCAACAGAAGAATACCCTTCCTGAATTGGACTTAACGAATAATCCTGCAGGTACTCAGGTGTAGGTTTCCTGAACTGACGATCTGGCGTAGAAAAACCATAGGCAGAACTATCATCTCTCTTTGGTGTCGCCAGAAGATGTTCTTCTTCTGAATTTTCTAAATTATCTGTCTTTTTGATAGACTTCTTTGGAGATTTCCCAGAAAATCCAGATTGTGAATTTGGAGTCCATGGATGATTAAAAAATGTTACAGTTTTATTTTTTATTTCTAATTTACTTTTAACAGGAGTATTATCTTTTGCAGCGCCAATTGGCTTCCCAGAAAAACTATGTGTTCTTCTAAAGGACCCAGTGTTCGATCTACGAAATGGGGATTTCATGGGACTCATGTCTTGTTCTGAATCAGAGAAATAAAAGTCTTCGGGTACATTATTAATTTCATCTAAATATTCTTCTTCAGTTAAACCATGTTTAACATTATATGAATCTTCTTCTGCTTCATCGATGAAAAATAAATCTCTTGTCGACCCAGGTACATCTGAATCTAAAATACTGCTTAAATCATGATATTTCAATGACTGTGACCGTTTAGGAAGGATGATATCACTAGAATTGTCTGGTGGAACAAAATGCAAATCTGGAATATCTGAATGCTTTTTAATGCTTTTATTTATATCAACGATATATTTATCCAGCTTTTTATCCATCAAATTATTATCGATAGAATCCCCATTACTAGGAATCTTTTTAAGTGAAAAAGAAGAATTCTTCTTCAAAGACTTATGTCTATTTAAAAGATTCTTACCCCCAGGAATATTGAAGGGATCTTTCAAAACGTATTCACCATCTGATTCGTCATTACAACTATCATCATCTTTAAAATCTCTATCTTCTTCATCATCTAGATTAAATATATCTGCAAACGATGCTACTGGTTTAACGATTATCTTCTTTTTTGGAGTTTCTAGTGGCTTAATAAGAGGACTACTTTTTGAAACATTGCTATTGTTAAAGCTTTTGGAGGATGTTAAACTTTTCTGAGGGGATATAATATTTTCATCCACCATCATATTATCTATTTGGCTTGCCTCTCCATCTTCGCACATCTCATGTATTAGTCTTGTCTCATTTTGATATTCATCACTGGGATCGTAGTCGAAGTCATCAGAAAGATCAAATAAGTCATTGTATGTTTGAACTTTTTTTGGTGCTTCCGATTTCAATTTTGGTCCCTTGCTACTATTATTATCTTGAACAACATAATTTTCATGTCCTTGGATATCATCGTTTTCATCACTATTTTCATTTCCATAATCAAACTTATTAGAAGGAAACTCAAAACCATCAAGACTGTCCTCGTCATAGTTCATATTTTCATCAAAATTTTCATCTTCATATAAATCATCAATGTAAATATTATTGACAGGTTCAGGTTTTGAATAATACTTCATTGAAGCCGTTCTACCGTTTGGTCTATTATACTCGAATGAGAATTTTGAGGTATTATCATCATCGTCATCATCAGTTGTTTCTGAGCAACTGTCAGATTCCCCATCAGCATCACTAGCTCCTTCCATCTGTGGGAGTGTTTTAGATGTTTCAGCAAAACTTATAGTTCGGCTTCTGTTACCATCAATAGTGTCTTGTGGACTTGCATTTAAATTTGGAACCTTTTTTTTCCTTTGTACATTTTCTACAACACCTTGTTTATTATCAGCTTCTAATACATTCTCATTAAGATTCTCTAATGGAGATATAAAATGCTTTCTAACTTTATTTTGTAAATTTGAAGTTCTAAATAAATTTTCATTCCCAATTATTTGTGTTTTTCTATTATTATACTTTACTGCATTAATATCATTTGGTGTGGATGGGTTGATAATTTTACTATCAAAATTTTTTAAATCTTCTTCTTCAGTTATAATAGGAGTTGAGTTATATTCTTCAAAAGAATTGTTGGTCTTTATTGAGACAATCGATGGTCTCTTTAAACCAGATATGCGTGCGGCTGGTTCCAAATCTGAATAATCTGAATTAGAAGCTCCAGATAAAGATGATCTTGGTTCATTCAATACAATAATGGAGTGCCCCCCTGTATCGGATCTGGTACCCCATGAATGAGTTATAGTACCTTTTATAGAAGGTATTTCTATCTCTGATTCAGTTGATCTGACTTTTTGTATAGCATCTGTTGACGTATTTATAGTCCTTGGAGTAGGAGGAGAACTTAAAGACTCACCTAAATGTAAACTGTTATTATACGTGGCATTCAAAGCATTGTTTGAACTTTTCTTGAATAGTTTTGAAGGTATTTTATTCGCTAATCTATGGAATGATTCAAAACTTGGTGTGTGTTTAGGACTATAATTTTTCGAATTTGGTAGATTATTAGGTATACTCATACTTGTAACAGTGTTAGAATTACTGCTAATTACAGTAGAACCAGAGTAATTGAATGAATCAGCACTGGACCTCTGCACGTTCGGTACTTCTGAATTATTCCATCTACTTTGGCTACCATCTAAAGAATTTGAATTTTTATGAGACTTGATGAAGGACCTCATCACTATGTTCTAGTGGAGGGTCAAAACAAAACAAAGAAACGAATAGTAGAAACAAAAAATCTAAATTAATAATTAGTTATATCCCTTTGTCATACTTTAGATAACCAGAATAACGATCTAAATGACTTAACAGTTGAGTTTGCTACTTTTATTAAAATCAAATTGTTGTACGAATCTTCGAATTTGATATTGATCTCTAAACCCCGGTAACCGAAATAGATCAGAATTTTAATTGTAATAAGAATGTAACATTAATGTCACAGTAATAGATGATATAGAAACCTAAATCAAGATCAGTTTAGATGTATAAAGTGAAGACGATAGTTTCTTCAGTCATAATCTAATGTATTAAGTTATCTTTTGAGTCTTTTTTATTGAAATATAAGCCATACTGACTGTAGTAATAGATCAAATTACCAATTTCCGAAGAAGATGACGTCATAAGAACAAAAATTTAATAAAACAGAAAAGAATTAAATTGGAACATGGATTGACGATAAGTCTCCATGTATAAAAATATTTTTTTCAGATTAGTGTTATATATTCATATATAATTATATTTGTTCTTACCAACTGGAATACTCAGTTAAGAGTTCCAAGTATGGATAATAAATTGTTTTGAACCAAAGATTTTTTTTTAAAATAAAGCAGAATGAAATAAAACCATATCAAATGGATTGCAGATAAAAGAAATAGGGCATTAGCCTTTAGCACTTTAATATCCACCATGAACAGAGATTTTACGTCGAATGAGAACGACAAATAATCACAAAATAAAACAAATCAGATTTGATAATTATTTTAGTGAGAATTTCTATCATTCGTTGCACTTTCACATATTCAAAGTGGTGATTAAAGTATTAATTCTTGCTTCTTTATCTTTCCCATTAGATTTTAATTTTAAATGTCTTCTAACTTTCTGTTTGATTTGGAGATTTTGTATCTTTTTAATTTTAACTTTTCTAGTCTCTTTTTGTTGTTTGATTTATTTTTTTTGGTAAGTTTTGATCTTTTTTTCTTTTTTTAGAATTTGGTGTTCTTGTTTACTGTAAAATGAAATTGCAAAATAATGAACTTCTATTATTTTTAACATATTATATTTTGTAAAAAAACATGTTTTGTCATATTATATCTAGTATTTTTATAAGCTTAAATTGTTTTTTTTTATTTTTTTCCTTTTTTTTGAATAGTTTTTAAAATAAAGTCGAAATAAAATTAATGATTCCCGTATTCCTGCAAAAATATTCGTAAGGTTGAATAAATAAATAAGAAAAAAGACGACCTTGTTTGAATTAATAGAATAAATTATGACTGTTCATATTAATAGACCGCAGGTCTAGTATAATATTGATTGTCAAATAACCCGTAACTATCATTTTGATAATTCCCATATTTTGGAATTTCAGCATTCCAAGTTGGATATGTTGGTTGTTGATTACTCATCATGTTACCCATAGCTTGAGGAGCATATTTAAAATTACAACTGTAATTATTTGAAAAATCACCATTAGCTGATGGACTTAGTTGAGAAATTGGCGAAGTAGATAAATTTTGTTGATTTTGGTTATAGTAATAGTCGAATACATCGTCGTTGTAATGAAATGGAGAAGAATTCAAAGAAGAATTTGAATAGTTTGGAGTTTCAAAACCTTTAGCACCGACAGATAAATGGTTGTTATCATATTTAGAAGGAGAAGAGTAGTAGGATTGAGATTGAATTGGGACGGTGTTATTTGATCTTTTACCTTGACAAAATACGTCAAAGGAACAAACGTAATCTTCATACAAACTAAACTTATCATCGAATAATCTCCATTCGAAGATGTTTAACCATCTTCTTTCATATTCATTGATAGTAGACAACTCCATACCTGTTGCTTCTGACCAAGATTTGTTGGTAAAAGTCTTATCATCATTGAACTTATTGGCTAGTATAAAGGCAATCATTGTATTTTGATAAATGACATTGACAGAGTTACCGCCAATGGAACTTGAACCATTTGGTAACTTATCTAAATACTTGGATAAGAAATGCAAAGCTTGGAATATAGAAACAGAAGGCAATCTTGTAGCGTTTAGTACAGAGGAAACCCCTTTTGTGAACAAAGTGACCACTTGACTCTTGGAATCGTATTGGTAGATACTTTCTGAATCAAAGGCTAACATTGCGTACTTGACGATGAATTCAGCCATCAAATCTAAATCGTAATCCAGGATTTGGTTTACACCGCCATTGACTTGTTCTGAGACTACAGGTTGTTGCTGTTGTGGGACTGGTGCTAAAATTGGAGCTGGTCTTAACATTGGAGCAACAATCTGTGGAGGTGGCATATTTGACAAACCGTTGTAAACCATGCCTGGAGGAGGAGGTAACGTCACACCTTGGAAACTGCTGCTGTGAGCGTGGTTATAGTAAGGTTGGTTTTGGAAACCGAACTTGTTGTTGATAGGTGGGATTTGTTGTTGTAATGGAGCACCCAAAGATTGAGTGTGGTGATGAGGAATGAAGTTTGAATGGGTAGGTGGATGTGGTAAATTGATAGGTAACCTTGAGTTATTATACATATAAGTAGTCATAGTGGAATAACAATAGGGAAGATAAAATAAAGAAAGAAATCACAAATATTTGGAAGTTAATGAAACGAATAATATGTGATTGTGAATATAATAAGTGACAAAAAAATAAGTAAAATAATAAAGAATTAAAATAAAAATGAAATTTTAATCAATATTAGGAAGTAAATTTTTGAAAAGCTAGAGTAAAGATGAAAATGTAAAATGAAAAAATGGAGTAATGAATAATATACTTTATTTTTTAGCAATTAAAATAAGACAAATTAACTTAATAACTACCTTAAGTTCAAAAAAAAAATATTAATTGCTTGATTGATTGATATTTTTTTTGAGTATAATTATTAAAAAAGAGTATAAAATTGTAATGGACCTTTTATTTTAGTAGTATAATTCCAATTAATTCGTAATTCGATCTGGTGTAACAATGGAATGGAATGGAAGGGTGAAAGGAAATGATGTGGTGGTGGTGGATGATGTCACAGGAAAATTAGAATTTAAATTAAGTGTGGGAAAATAAAATAAAAATTAAAGGATGAATTAGAAAACAAAGACACAATTGATAAAAAAGTCAGTAAATATAACTTTTTAATGGCGTTGTAATCTAAAGGGAAAGTGGTGAGGATGGATAAATGGAAAAGGTGGTGGGTGGTGGGTGGATGAGGGTTGGGAAATAGGAAGAGATGTTTGATATAATATATATAAAATTATAAATATATTAAAGAAACAATAAAATAACCAAAAAGAAGAATGGGAAACAGAAATATAAAAAAAAAGTTGGACAGGCCTTTTATATTTTTTAGCACGCTAAAAAGTTTGGAATAAGTTTAAATAATGTATAAATATTTTAGAAGGTTGGACTCAATTCAAAGTAAAAGGAAATGAGAAACCTACGAAAATAAAAATACAAATGAAAACAAATAACAGACGGGGGAAAAATAAAATAAAGGCAGGTAAATGGAAGATAATATATCCTTGACCTAGATAAGTACCAAAATTTTTTTAAATTCTTTTTTGTTCTTTCTTTCTCTTAGTAGTAATATATATATATTAATATAATAAAAGCGAAATAATATTATATTATATTATATTATATTATATGAGATATTGTAGTTCTTTAATAAAATTTAAAAATTTAAATATTTTCAAACAGTATATCAAAAAAATATCCTGTATATTCCCTTGGGATTAGCTTGGAATAGAAGAGTTTAGTTCACTGATCTAGAGCCTGAAATAAGCCAAACCAAACCAAAATAAAACCAAAATAAATTAACAAAGACATCAAAGAAAGAGTTCAAAATAGCATTTTTGTCTTTATATATATACAATAGAGTAATATAATATAATATGGTATAGCATAGTATATAAAGAGAGAAGAGAGAGAGAAGAGAGAGAGAAGAGAGAGAGCCATTGAAATGGAATCAACAAAAAATAAATTTTTTTCTCTTTCTCGTTTTGTCTCTTTGCTTTGCTTGCTTGTGGTTGTGCTTTTGAACGACGGTTGCCGGTTTCTGCTGGCTGGCTGGTTTGGTTTGGTTTGGTTCGGCTTGGCTCGCTGGCTGCGGGAGAATGAGGGGGAGGGAGGGGCAGGGAGGAGAAGCTGCTGGAAAGAGAAGAGAAGAGGAGATGTGGTGTATTTTTCTAGAAAATTGTACGCCGTCAGTAGTGACGAGACTGCCAAACAGTGAAAGTTGCGTTTGCGTTTGCGTTTGCTTTTTGCTTTCTGCTTATTCTGGCCAACAACTGGTGGAGGAAGAAAAAGACTCACACATCCTTCCCTTGCCGAAATCTGGGCAAATGTGCAAATGCGCATGCGTATCATGGCACACGGCTTCTATTTTCTTCTTTTGTGTCTTGTGTGCACCATATCTCCAATTCCGAATAAAATCTCACTAGAGCGAGTCACGTGGGTCGCAGGCGTCACAAAATAAACATCTTGTCATCTATCTGGCTTCTGGTTTGCGTAACGGTGGTGCCAACAACGTATTGCTATGAACTGGATATATATCCTGCATGCTCACATCAATGTCTGTAATCTCAGGATCTAACGACATCCGACTCGTATTACGTATACTCTTCCTCTTCACCGGCGTTTGCCCATTGTTATTATGGCTATTCGTCCATGTCGTAGTCGCCGTTTTCTTCGATGCTATTATTGGTCTTAGAATTTTTTCAATGTTTTTGGGTGACGGCGAACTATTAGTAGAATTACTCATCTCAGTAGTGCTTTTAGTCACTTTAATAGGTTTCACCAATTTCTTCTCTGATGATACTGACGCTATGGGCACTGTCGCAACTTTTTGAGTTTTCGATACATTCACGTTGAAGTTTATACTGGCAAACATCCTTTGTCCAAATTGTTCAAACTCTTTATCGATATCTAATAGTTCTTGTAACGACTCATTGATATCTCCTTGATGATACAAACATTTGGAGAAAAATTTGCACTTGTACATCAAGTTTTCATTTTCAAATAGTTTCTCAGTTAACATAGATCCATTGACAAGCACTTCATTTCGAACTACTTCATTGATATTGTCTAATCGACTTTCAAAATTAGCTCGGTCTATAATGTCATCCCAATACTCCATCTCAGATAATTTCATCGCATCATTTTTCTTGGAATGCTCAATTACTAGATCCAACTCATCTGGTGTGTCAAATTGTTCTTCCAATTCTCGTATCTTATTCAATATCTGTTCTTTCAATATATTGCAAGTCTCCATAACACCCATATCTTGTGTACTATTAACAACGTATAATACACTATCCAATTCTAAGTTTATCATTTGTAAGAACCGGCGTTTACAAAGTATCAATGATTTAATATTCTTGGCATTCTGGAATTTACTGGTTTGCGCATACGTGTTTTGTATATTTCTTAAACAATCGTCCATTGATAGCTGGATTTTTTCTCTCCCTAATTTATACTTCTTTAATTGAATCTCGATCATATTCTGTTCTCTTTGTCTCAATTCATCAATTTCCTTCTTCTGTTCTGTAATCATCTTCAGATATGATCCAACGTGTCGATTCAAAGATTGTTGGTTCCTAATAACTTTGGTCTTGATTTCTTTGGCACGATTAGCATATTTTAAAGTGTTTAAAGTTTCATCATAATGCGTGCTGCTCGGTGATACACACACAATCATCACTGTCTTACAATTCCCACCTAATGAAAATTTTAGTAATCTTGTTAGTTTAGAATCTCTGTATGGAACATGACACGACCTGCGTGTACCGTCATTCAAACATAGTGCATTGATACAATTTCCTAATGCTAATAAGGATTTATTAATATTGGCACCCTCATATAACCTTTCGCCACGATTTTTAGTCGAAGCTGCTCTCTCACTACCTGCCAAATCAATTATAGATAATGTGGCAAATACGTGGCTGCTGGTTAAATCAACTGTTCTATTTGTCTGAGATATATGAATTTGTAAAACTGCATGTGATCTAGAAGATGTTTCGTTAGCATCGGTTGCAGATGTTGTCCTATTTATATTACCTTTAATAATTAGGTCCATTACATCTTGAACAGTTTTGGGACGATGATGTGATAAATTCGCTACACTTATTTTGCTTTCATTGTCTTCACGTATGACTAATTTTTTGGAAGGAGTATCTGGATTTAATAAATCACGAATCGATTCATTGTATATCTCTAAATAGGATAATGTTAATTCAAAATTTTTGGTATCTTTAATATTTTCTATTTTCTGAAACAATTCCTCCATTGCCAAGAATATTATCCCTGGTTGTTCAGGTGTACCACTGATAGTATACGTCTTCCCACACCCTGTTGCACCATATGCAAATACAGTTCCATTGAATCCATCTAATACAGAATCTAATAACAAACTTGTTGTAGAACGATATACTGCCAACTGACTTGAACCTTCATTAAATAATTTGTCAAAAATAAATTTAATTTCACCACCATTCCTTCTCAGCTGTCTACGACTCACTTGTTTCCTCGAATACATTGAATTTAAAACAGTTTCACTCAACTTATTTAAAGGATTTGTTGCCGATGGATCGAATATTAGCATTTTCTCATCTACACAATCTACAATTTTTCTAATCCCATTAGGTTTAAGTAAATAAGGATTTTTACCAGTGTACCAAATATCATTTTTAGAATTATTATTATTATGATTATTATTATTGGAGTTAATAGTGGTATTACTGTCATTATTTTCCTCTCTACTCCCAGGCAAAGTTAAAGAAGAATCGCCCAATGAAGGGTATTGAAAGTTTTCATCATTGTCCCTTATCAAATGGAGAGACTCATACTCTGTAAACGGCCTCACTCGCACAGCTACTGTTATTGACGATTGTAATTTCTCTGATTTATCCATAATTATTAGTTCTGCTTATACAACAACAACAACAAAAATAAAAAAAGAGTATTATAAATTAAAGGAAATAACCTGAACCAGAACAGCAAAACGCCAATAAACCAACAAATTGATCAATCAAGGATATCAAAACAATATTCCCAAAGCAAACTAGCGTCGACCTCTACCGTAAATATACCAGTCTAGAGGCAACAATATCTTTAATATCTAATCTGACTCTCGATCTTTCCCTTCTAGATCTACTATATATATCAGATTCGACTAAAAAATGGAACAACCTCTTCACAAAGTTCAACTACAAATAGAACACAACTTAAATAGTATATGACTATAACTGACTAGATCTACCTTTATGACTTACAGTTTGTGATTTAGATCATTAGTTTCTTGTATGTAACAAAAATCATCTCTCCATAATAAATAAATATCTTTGAATTTTATATGGTAAACAAAAGGACTTTTACTAATTAGGAAAAACGTTTAAATTTAAGAACTGATCTGTCTGAACCAAGAGAATGAACAAGTCGAGATGGGATGAGATGGGATGAGCTGGGATGGGATTGGTATAAAAGGAGTTGATCTAGATGGTGAATGGAATTATTGGTTCTGTTTATTAGTATCTCTTGGGTTTTGTTGTACTTGGAGGTGAATTGGAGGAGAAAAATGGATTGCAACATAGTTTGATTAGAATGAGAATTATATAATGATTCAAAATGAATAAGAGGTCTTGAAACTGGAAAGCTTAAAGTATTAGGATTTTTCGGTAGGCTAATATTGATTAGTGTCTTCAAAATCAGCTCTTATTGTCAGAATTGAAATGAGAGATAAGACGCCTCACTCTCGTTGTTATATAAAGTATTAAACGTTTATTCATCTTCATAGTTATAGACTTATCCATTTAGTTGAATGGTTGATCCCGTATTACATACAATATTGGATAATAGTTTACATATGGTATATTACATATAATTTTGTTGTTTGTCTTGGTGTGATACATTTTTGACAAACTGATAATCTCTGTCAACGAGTTGTCCCTAGATACCTCCATTTCATACTACGATTTTAGACCATTCTTCTTGAGTGTAGCATTTACAACTGAAAGCATGTATTTGGTTTATCTCATCATGTAATGCTTTATTAACCAAACGACTTCTCGCCAGTTTGTTCTTACCTATAAAAGTATCACTCACCACAACAACTTCAAACGATTGCCCACAACCAGATGAAGTGTCCATTGCAATCACATTGTACACTTCTGGAATGGTTTCATTAATCTTAGAACGTAAGGATTCTTCAGTCAACATTTTCAAGTATTATAATCACTACTATTGTTAATACTTTAAAATGTATAAAATTAATTAATTAAACTCCAACTGATTCAAATAAAGCCAGACCAAATAAAAACAACACTATATGTGGGTTTATCAAATATGTAGATTGAAACACACACCAGTCTTGATGTCCTTGCAAAAGAATTTCCAACTCTAGATTTAACCATCTTGTTTCGTTAGTAACTTGTAAGAAATATCATATTGGCTTTAAGCATCAAATTTTTGAAATTTGTCTTTAACATTTAAAATGAATCAGAACTACTCATCGAAAGACCACTTTAAACACGAATTAAAAGAATATCAAAGGGGTTAAAGCATCCATTAAGGTACTGATTTCGTTCTGATATTATCAATTGATTTATTTATTTCCTTGCAATTTATTTAGTTTGATAGTTATGAGCAGAGCATTATCCAAGACTCAATTGAAACAAATAGTTAATGCTATAACTAAACATTATCCTGCTGGTTATGCTGATAAAGCTTGGGATAATACAGGTTTACATATTGATTGTTCAGTTGATGGTGATTCTAATATTGGTCCAGCCAAAGTCTTATTAGCTGTAGACTTAACTGCCAGTGTAGCTCAAGAGGCTATTGATAAAGGTTGTAACTTAATCCTAGCCTATCATCCTTTCATCTTTCCAAGCTGGAAATCTTTGAATCCTTCAAGAAACACACAACAGAATAGTGCTATCAAGTTGATCCAAGAAGGTATTTCTGTGTATTGTCCTCATACTTCTGTTGATGCTGCTAAAGGTGGTGTAAATGATTGGTTGGCTAATGGATTAGTAGGTAAAAATACCTCTTTAATCAGTAGCAACATTTCGATTGAACAAATCAGTGGTCAATTAGTTGGAGGTGACCTTTGTGAAGAAGTCGGTTATGGTCGTTTAGTTAAATTGGGGGCCCCATTATCACTTCAAGATATTATTGAGAATGTTAAAGCTTCATTAGGGATCAAACACGTTCAAGTCTCAAGTTTACACTCTGATTTGTCAAATCATAAGATAAAGAACATTGCATTATGTGCAGGTAGTGGATCAGGAGTTTTCAAAGCATTATCAGAAGATGTTGATTTGTATTACACCGGTGAATTATCTCATCATGAGATTCTAAGGTACAAAGAATCTGGCAAAGCAGTAATTGTATGCAATCATTCTAATACTGAACGTGGTTATTTAAAAGCTGAAATGGTATCATTACTTACACAAAAAGGTATCGAATGTATAGTCATTGAAACCGATGTAAACCCATTAAGAGTAGTATAAAACTATAATGGTATATCTTTTATAAATTATATTAAATATTTTAAATCAACAATTGTCAAATTTACCCCCGTTTCAAATGAGGGAATAACCTCTTAAAATTTTAGATTACATGAAATAATAACTACAACCAATACACACCAATGGATCTCCTATCCCATTTTAGATCCAACAATCGTTCTATTTATATCAGCTTTGTTCATTTGTTATAGTCTTCTTAAGTAACTCTGGGTTTTTCAACTACAGGCACAGATTATTTACAGCAATAAAAAGGAGTTTTAAAAAGAGATGATTAACAATAACTTTAATAATAAGCTTTAGTTAAACCCTATTTTAATTAATGTATTCAAGAAGCTATATATAATAATCGAACAATAACGTTAATAGATTGTTATTAAATGCATATTTACAAATGTCAACCGATACTAAATACGTTAATAGTAATCGTCTGATGCCTCAAATGGTATCTGGACGTCATGATAAGGGTGATAATAATAGAAAGAAGGAGTTAACCAAGAATACTGGTGCTAGTCAAGGTCAAAATACTAGAAGGAGACAGTACAGAAGGAATAAGATTACTAATGATGATAAGAAATCAGGTTGTTTACGTCAGAATCAAAAAAAGGGAGTTGATAATAACAACAATGATGTTGAATCAACAGAAGTCTTGACTCAAAATTTGAAAAATTTACTGTTAAAGAGTAATCAATGTGTAAAAAAGGATGATACCTGTATATTGGAACAACTCAAATCAAGAGATAGTGCTAAAAGTATATATAGGAATAACGAAAAATCTAAACAAGTTAATATAACTGTTCCACCAATCGGATTGATAAGTAATAGTCCAGTGATGAAGGCAGCAGAAAGAATTCCAAATGCTAGGTCACCTTCACTACCATATGCAGGTTTGAATCCATGGCATTCGTTGCCATTAGGTTCTTCATATTCCAACTCTTACACTTATACACCAGTTACTCAGAATTTCGATTTATCAAGTGCACCACCACAAGTACACGGGCAAGAACAAGGTATATCAGCAGAAGCATATCCATATGGTAGAAACAATTTTATGTCATTGCCTATATCACCAAATTCTCATGAGTTTCATCATTTCGCCAATAGTCATGGGAATTTAAATAATTCTCCACATATAGCCAGGAATATGATTCCTAAAAATTATAGTCACCTGAATCAAGAGGTAATGACAACAGCATCGTCACCACCTCATTCCTCATCTTCTAGTGGTTCCAATGTTTCTTCACCATCATACAACAATTATGCATATATTGGTCAAAAATCAAATTCAAATAGATCGAAAGAATCTACAATAAGAAGCTCTACAACAACAACAAATTCATTTGCTGGCGCATCATTTGCAACTGATATACCTAAATTACAGGATCTACCCAAACCAAGTTTTATATGATATTTCAAACAACAACACATACATTTCTCTTCCTTTTTTGCCATGCCAGTCAACTTTTTTAATAGTTTAAGTTATGCCTCATGAATCATACAGTTTATTGTATTTCATTTCAATTGAATCGTCTTCATAAACTTCAACTAAAGCCAACAAAGTCTATTCCAAAATAGATAATAACCATTGAATATAACTGATCATTACAACAGCAATGCTGTGAAATCAACATTTTTCTTTTTAAATGTAACATTAGGATGATGTATTATAATTTAACGAAACTTAATCAATTTCCAACCATTTTATTTCATTTGTATTACAAGTAAGATATTGACGTGGAACATATTCACACATCTACAATATCAATCAAAATCTGATAAATGCTAGTCATTGATCTTGTATAACGATATCTTTGTATTGTATATTATTCATCTTATATATTTTAAATCATCTTACATATTCATTAGGCCCTTTTTTTCTAAATATATGTTCAGCATCACTATAAGAATTTTATATAAAAGTGAAAAATTATAGCACGTAGTATTAATATCCAACGTGTCATTGGAAGTGATTAAAGAGAGGTATAGAACGATATAAGAGGTTAATCGATAGCTTGGCATCAGTATTATAATATTAGTTTGAATTATATATATAAAAGTATCAATATTTTAAACCATGTCCCTAGATATAGATAGAACAGTTCATGATTTATTTGTAGAGAAAAGTGTTGTTGAAATAAAAGACTATGATTTAGAATTATCTAATAAGACTGATAAATTAAATGATGAATTCAGAAATGAATTATTTAAATATTACAAGAATGTTTTACAGGTCACTGAGGATATTGGTAATTTATACGATAATATGAAATTGGCAGATTCAGAATTTTTGGATTTATGTTTTTAAAGATGATAAGTATAAATTAAATAAAGTATCAGAATTTCAATCCCTGACTTCGAATCCAGCAATTAAGTCAAGTTCTAATATTTTAGAAAGTCAAGCTTTTCAATTCTTCAAAATCTATACTTTTGTTATCCAACTGGTTGATTTCAATGACAGATTTTTTTAATAGATTTGCTACTTCTTCAAACTGTGATAAACTGTTTGACTCAATTATTGATAATTTCAATATTATAGGTTCAAAATTATCTGAATTCACTGATTTTTATGATACTATAGAAAGCAAATGTAAAGAATTGCAGGAATATATTATCGAATCATCATTATCTGGTAGTTCTGATTTTAACTTAATCCAATGTGTGAAATTGTATTATTTAATTAATGATGAAACTCAGTCATTCCCATGGGATAAAATATTAATGAATAAAGTCAATGATGTGATATTCAATTCCATTTTTGAATTTGATCATTCAACATTCCATAACATCTCAAATGAAACGGTTTTAAAATTTATCAATTCAAATACCTTTAAAGACAAGTATATTGAAAAATTGGAAAAAGATATAAATTCAAAATTAGATAAATTAGATACTATATTGAAAATTGATAAAAATGCTCAAAGTAATCAACTAATAGGAACTTCATTGTATCCATCAGGAACAAAAGATAATAACAATTTTGATATATCTAAAATTATTGATAATTCATACATGTATTCATTAGGTTTGACAACGACAACAAGAATTGAAATATATGAAATTACAAAGCCTTTAATAGAATTATTAAAGGAGTTAAAACAAAATAACAATGATAACAAACAATTGAAATCATACAATGACAGATTGACTAAATATTTGAAAGATCTGATTCCAAAGGATAGTAATGCGACAACCAATACCAATGATCTCTCGAATTCTCATGAATTCATCATTTCAGATTTCTTAAACACATCCAACGATAAGAATTTTAAATCTTTTATTGAGAAACAAATCAAGAACTTACAAGAGATCTTATGAACTGAAGACTATTAGTTTTTATTTTTATGTGTTAGAGTAGTATCCAATAACGGGATTTGTTCTGAGTCCATGTTCACTCCTCAATAGGGTAAAAAAACCACAGAATATAATTATATCAACTACTGAAATGTTTTATAAACTTATAAATCGTTGGTAATCAATTCCTTAATACTGATAGTCAACTATAACACTTCTTTCAGGTACTTGGTATTACTTTTTTCTTTTTCAGTACTGAGGTTTTTCCCTTACGGATTAAATTTATGGAGAGATATTCTATTAAAGGAAAAATGAAAATTGACAAACTCATCTCATTTTAAATACATAATGAACAGGTTAAATGTTTATTAATTTTGAAGATAATTATTTGACAAGTCATGGTAAAGGTCTAACAAGCCACTATTTATTATAACTGTATCGTGGGTATAAGTGTATGGGTTTATATTTCTTAAAGTTTTGTTAATTTTAAATAAGGATAGAGGTAATTGAGAACAAATATTAGGTATAAGTTTAAGTTACACAATCACCACTAAAAGGAATTTTATTTTGATAAAGAGAAGTTAAATCAAGTTGATATATAATAGAAAATGACTAATATGAATTATTCACCAGCATATCCTGAATATAAGAGGGCCGTTGAGAAACAATTGAAGATTAATGAAGAGCATTTAAAATCGTTGACTCACCCCGGTAGTAAAGTTTCATTTGAAGTTGATCCAAAAGTGTTACCTGAACCTGATCCTAATTTAAAGGTGTTCTTTTTTGATATAGACAATTGTTTATATAAAAAATCTACAAGAATTCACGATATGATGCAGGTATCTATTGTTTCTTATTTTAAGACCCATTTAAATTTAGATCATGATGCTGCTCATCATTTAAATAATACATATTATAAAACCTATGGATTGGCCATTCGTGGTCTAGCTATGTATCATAATATAAATGCATTGGATTATAATAAAATGGTAGATGATTCTTTACCTCTACAGAACATTTTAACTCCAGACCTTAAATTACGGGAAATGCTAATTAGATTAAAAAACTCTAAAAAAATTGATAAATTATGGTTATTTACCAATGCATATAAGACACATGGTCTTCGTTGTGTTCGACTTCTTGGTATTGCAGACTTATTTGATGGTATTACTTACTGTGATTATGCTCAACATGATAGGCTAATTTGCAAGCCAGATCCAAGAGCATTTGAAAAAGCAAAAGAACAAAGTGGTTTATACGATTATAAGAATGCTTGGTTTGTTGATGAATAGTGGTAGCAATATTCAAACCTGGTATATCCTTGGGTATGAAAAAATGTATTCATTTAGTTGAGGATGAAGTAAATGAAATTTTAGGTGAAACACCAGAGGGTTCAATAATTATCAATGATATTCTTGAACTGGAACAGGCTATTCCTGAGTTTCTTTAATCTAATCATTGATGAAGAATCGATGAATACATGTCCAAACTTATTCATCTATTTCTTGTCATTATATGTAATTTTCCCCCACATAGATCTATGTACCTATAATTTTAGTAAATGATGTCAATATACTTTTTAACAATAGAAGCTCAATATCAGCCACATTAGTCATATCTGAGACATCTCTGATACAATTGAAGATGTAATCAATGACAGGAAGACTTTCTTTGGAGTAAGGTACCAAATCTGAACCAAATATAAATATCGAAAAGTATAGTAACTTCCTATACTCTTTATCATCAAAAATAGTATTGAATTCATCGATAATCCTATTAAGTGCCAAGGTATTATCTCCAAAAATTCCATCTACCAATTTATTTTTAAATGAAGGTAATAATTTAGTCAATCGATAATGCATATAATAGTCATCTAAATTAATCAACTTTAAGTATTCCTCTATGACATCAACATCCAAAGCAGAAACGATTTCTTCGCACCATTTGGAGTCACAATCGTTTGATTCATATATTTTTTTGTCTAGAATAAAACATAAAAAGAATTTAACAAAATTTGGTTCATCGATATAATAAATAATAATGCTTTTCATTGAATCTGTTGGTAGTATTGTGCATAAGTTATCATAGTTGTAATAATCAGAAATACAAAAATATCCATCATTAATTGAATTTAATTTTTCTTTTGATATACCAAAAGTTGGCAATATATAATTTAGATTTGGGTATGACTTCAAGATTTCATGTCTTATCCTATTGAAATCATGACAATTATAATAAGCAGTTTCAAAAGATAAAATTGGAGAGATATCGTCAATTGTCGTGTCTTCCTCAATAAAATGCCAATCCAAATATTTATCAGGATTAGCATCCTTAATAATAGTATCAATGTAATAACTTAATTGAGAATTGGTAAAATTTTTTGATAATTTTGCCATTAATTCGTTTGATTTAGTAAAGGTTTTGGAAACAAATTTTTTTTTTTCATTATTTATTTTATCTTCAGCTGATTCAATTGAATTTAGATTTTTTGTAACCTTCTCATTATATAAATCACCTAAATCAAAACTTTTGATATTAATATAACCATTTTCGTTCTTGATAACAGCAGGTTTCTTACTAGAACCATTGAAAGAGGACATCTTAAGAAGAATCTCATCGTCTTCTGAGTCATCTATTAGGTATAAATCAATATCTGAATCAATTTCCTCATCTGAAACCTCTGGATATTTACTTGTAGACTTCTCATCCTTAATCTTATGATTATTAGAGTTGTATATTGTTGTTACACTTTCATCTGAATCTTGTGAATCATGGATAGAAGATGAATTGTCAGACATGCTCTAGTACAATTTATAAACCAATACATTCACTGGTACGAAATACTGGCATTATGTTTAGTAAACTTTCCTTCATTATTCAAGTATTCCCTTAAGAAATGAAGTTGAATAATTTATTCAGCTTGCTAGTAAGATATTTATTTCATCGATTTTTTCATAATCGATGAGATGCGTTTTAACCTTGACTACACCAAGTGAAAAAGTATAAATGTCAGTAATTTAGTAGGTAAAAGTATAAAAGTGAAAAGAATTAAAATCAATTTAATTATCTATTTGACTATAAATTAACACTATATATGAGTTTATATATATAGATGTGTGATTGTATGTGTTCTACTTTAATTTTTTTGGTTATGGATTTCATCTTAAAGTACAAGTGAAATGAAAAAAAAATTATATATTGACGTATTAGTTTAATATTTATAAAAGGTAACCAGTAATATAAAAATGGAATAAAATATAATAAAAGGATAAATTTAACCCATGTAATTAATATTAGAATTATTATTTTTCAGGATTTTGGTTCTTCTTTTGCTTAGCAACAGCGTAGACGATACCAGCCAAGAAACCTAAGAAGATCGAGAAGATCGATAAGAAATTCTTTGGAGCGTCGAAGAAGATTAAACCAGATAGAGCAATTGGTAACTTGTTTAAAGCACCAACCATTGAGTAAGTAGTGGAGGAAGTGACACGAACACACCAACCTGAACAGTAAGAGATACCAACAGAAGCCATACCTGAAATGATCATAGCTGTGAAAGAGTTGGCAGTGAAGCTGGTGGATAAGTTTGTAGAAGACCAATCTTCTATACAGAAAGAGAATAGCAATAAGATTGGTAAAGCTAAAACGTTGTTGTAAAACATGGTGTCGAAATCTTTAAAGTTGGTTAATTTAATTCTTTTTCTCATGATCAAGACAAAAGCGGCAGAAGAGATACAGTTGGCGAACATCCACAAGTAACCGACATTGAAAGGTACAACAGGGACAGTAACGTCACTTTCCACCAAGGACTTAGCTTGCATGGCTTGTTTATCACCCCAAGTTGCGACGACAGAGGATAGAACCATTAGAATAAAAGAGGACAATTCCATAGAAGTGACTTTACCACCAAAATATATAACTTCACCGTAAGCAATTAAAATGATAGTTAGATTCTTGAAAATTGTATAGATTGGTACAGCCAAGAATTGCAAAGCCTTTGAAGAAGTGTAAATCATGATAACCAATAAGACTGAGATTGGGAACCAATTTTTAGCATCGGTTTTATTGAAAGGTCTAAATTTAGCATAACCCAAAGTTTTCAAAATAACCAATAAAAGAGTACAAACAAAAGATTGAACGAACAACATAACGAAGTTCATGTTGAAATCCTTTAAGTTGACGACGAATTTATTTGTGACAGTCATTAAGATGGAGGATGCACAGTAGGAAAAGATTGAGATTGGACCAGAATTGGCAACATTGCCCCAGAAATTGTTTTCAGCTAATTTCAGATCAGACATTTTAGTATTATCAATTGTTCTTTATGTGATGGATATATTGGTATGTAGTGTGGTATCCCAAATTAAATTCAGCAAATAGTAAAAGTAATAGAGGTTGATTTAATAATACGAGTGCAAAGATAAATGTATATTATATTATATTAAGACGAAACTGACGAATAATGAATATAATAAGAAAACCAAAAAAATAGCTGTTCTAATATTGACACACGTAAATGAATTGGGATGATGAAGGAGGATACTAGTTTAAAATATCGAAGTCTCTTGGCCAGGATGGTAATTAAATATAGGATAGTAATAAAATATTGATGAAAAATTGACCTAAATTTATTTACACAAGAAGTGGACTGTTAAATATCAAAAGTAAAACAAGATACGATTAAAATTGAAATAGAAATAAAGTAAAACAAGATAAAAATAAAATAATTATGAGTTGTTGTTCAAAAAAATTGTACAACTAAATATTTTTCATCGATAAATCACAGGTAATAGCTAAAGATAAAGCCAAAGTAATAGAATACAATACAATAGAATAGGATTAGGATAGAATAGAATTGTAGTTATTTCCAATACGAGATTGACTACCCACGTCACATCGAGAGAATTGGTGTTGATAAATGTGATGTAGTGGTAGTTGTTGTTCTAGATGATAACGGTGGGATATGATGGGATTGGGATTGGGATGGGATGTAATGGAATGAAAACTGTTATAAGTTCAGTGAACGTTGCTTTTCTGGATGCTGCTGTCTCGGTGAGTCCAGTCCAGTCCAGTTTCTTGTGTGTCTTGTCCTTCCTGGCATTCGGAGGCCTTGGAATTGAGCACCAGAGACAGATAGATAGAGAGTATAGCTAGTGGTATATATGTATATATGTATAGCTGGATGGGATATCTTGACGTTGTTGCTTCCGTTGCTGTGTATATTTTAG